CCCCTACACATCCTGGCCCGCCTTACACAACCTGGACCCCCTACACAACCTGGACCCCCTACACAACCTGGCCCACCTTACACAACCTGGACCCCCTACACAACCTGGACCCCCTACACAACCTGGCCCACCTTACACAACCTGGATCCCCTACACAACCTGGCCCACCTTACACAACCTGGACCCCCTACACAACCTGGACCCCTTACACAACCTGGCCCACCTCACCAGACAAAGCATTGGGACAGTGTCAGTGAGTCTGGGCACACACCAACATGAGGGTCTTTCTCCCGGATGGTTTTCCTCTCTGTCGACTCACAGCAGCAGGTTTTTTGCTGCCAGAGCAGCAAACAGTTTAAAAGTCAGTTGTTCAGAAACGTTCTGCTCTCTTCTTGCTCACATGATAATAGGAGCAGCTGACCAAGCTGTTGCTCAGCTCTCACTGGACCCCCTACACAACCTGGACCCCCTACACATCCTGGCCCGCCTTACACAACCTGGCCCACCTTACACAACCTGGACCCTCTTACACAAACTGGACCACTTTACACAAACAGGACCGCCTTACACAAACTGGACCACCTTAAACAAACTGGACCACCTTAAACAAACTGAACCACCTTACACAACCTGGACCCTCTTACACAAACTGGACCACCTTACACAAACTGAACCCCTTACACAACCTGGCCCACCTTACACAACCTGGACCCTCTTACACAAACTGGACCACCTTACACAAACTGGACCACCTTAAACAAACTGGACCACCTTAAACAAACTGAACCACCTTACACAACCTGGACCCTCTTACACAAAATGGACCACCTTACACAAACTGAACCCTCTACACAACCTGGCCCACCTTACACAACCTGGACCCCCTACACAACCTGGCCCACCTTACACAATCTGGCCCACCTTACACAACCTGGAACCCCTACACAACCTGGACCCCCTACACAACCTGGCCCACCTTACACAACCTGGCCCACCTTACACAAACTGAACCACCTTACACAACCTAGCCCACCTTACACAACCTGGCCCACCTTACACAAACTGAACCACCTTACACAACCTAGCCCACCTTACACAACCTGGCCCACCTTTTACAACCTGGCCCACCTTACACAAACTGAACCACCTTACACAATCTGGGCCACCTTACACAACCTGGACCCCCTACACAACCTGGCCCACCTTACACAACCTGGCCCACCTTACAC